ATTTATCTATCCTTCTTTATGTCCTCACTAAGTTGCTTAAATATTCTTATCATCAGGGCTCTGAACTCTGTCTCTGAAAGGTTGGATACCTTTGTTCCATTTAGTTCCATTTCTAGAAGTTTCCTCTGATCTTTTACTTTGCACATGCTTCTTTGTTTCTTCATTCTGTCTGTCGCTCTGTGATTGCTCTGATTTATTAGATAGATCACCTATGCCTCTCAGTCATTGCTGGGTGCTCTTGTAGTATGTGTTCTTTAGATCCATATTGCACAGTCTCCGTATTCCCCTGTCCTGTGTGTTCCAGAGGTGTCACTGTTGTAGTTGCTCTTTAATTGCTTTTGGCTTGTCAGAGGGTGGGATTGACCCTCAGACTGATTAGCTGGGAGAATTAGCTTTATTCACAGTGTATGAGATGCTGTGTGAAGGTTGATCCCCTCAGAGGAGGTTTGGCACTGTGGGTCTTTGTGCCTGTGGAAAATGTTTTTGAGAGTGTCACTTGTAGGTTCAACCAGGTAGTACTCCTGTTTTATCTAACGCTGGCCTCTGGGTGTATTGGTTCTGGTGTCTCTTGGGCAGAGTTCCCACTCAGAGCCATTTCAGACCTGGCTGTTACTGGCCTGTAGCTACCTGGTAGATTCATCAAGGCTGTATGCAGTTTGCTGCTGCCTTTTCTAAACCTGGGGTCATGTGGGAATGTTCTCTGTGTGAACTAAAGCTGGCTGCCCCCTATATTGGTCCTGAGGCAGTTTAGGAAAAGGTCCAGGGTCCCCTAGACCTGTTGCCATCAGTCAGATGTCGGTGAGGCCCACCTATTGAAAGAGGCTCTTTGAGGGTGTGTGTCTAGCATTTGACCCGGTGTTGAGGGTGCCTCTGCGATGTGGCACTAGCTTGGCAGGATGGAGTTCATGTGAGTTATGTGATGTGATCAGTAGTTTTTAAGATGTTAATGCAGAATCAGGCCTTACACCAATACCTGACCTGTGACCCCCTTGTATAGCGTCCCAAGGATGCTACAGCCAGCCTCCACCTTGTGTTCAGAGATTTAGGAGAGTTGCTCCCAAGTGGCTGTGGTGCAGGTTTGTGGTCCCTGAATATCACGAAGATGATCCCAGAGCTTAGCAGACCACCTTCTGTTGTAAAAAAAACTTTTCCAAAGTTTGTAGGGGTGGGGCCGGTCACCCCGGCACCCCGATTGCCTCTGGTAATGCAGCTGTAGGTGGACGAGGTGGTGTTACAGGTGTGTAAAGGCTGTGGTCAGTGGTTTCTACAAATTCAGTGTAGTCTCAGCTCCTGGACCAGTGCTAAGTCCATGTCCAGTTCACAAAACAAAAACAAAGCAAGGCAACCCAACACACCAAAAAACAAATACACTCCCACAGAAACTCAATAAGCAATGATCAGATAGGAGAAATGAAAGTATATAAAAGAGACACAAACACAAAAACAGGAAAACAAGACAAAAACAGTGACCAAAGCAATATCCAGATAAACAAGTCTGAGAAACAATGACAAAAACAAAACAGACAAAAGAAAAAGGAACAAAAATATGAAGGAGAAAAAAAGGATAAATAATAATAATAAAGAAAAAAAGGGGATGAAAAAAGAAGGAAAAAAAGGAAAAAAGAGATTTAAAAAAAGAGGGGGTGGCCGAGTGTTGTGTTGGCTAAGAGTTGGCTTGGTACACTGGCTCTGAGCAGCAGGTCCCCAGTTTGGATCCCACATGAGGGCCAGTGATGCTGCACCCTGTACAGCTAGGATGGTGAACAACAGCTTGACCTGGAGCTGGGCTGCTCTGAGTCACCAGCGACAGCGTAGGCTGCAGTGGAGCTGGCTGGCAGCAGGTGTGAGCTTTCATGAGCTGCGGCGAGCCACCTTGAGCGGCCATCCAATGGCCAGTGAACGACTGCCTAACCCCAGAAAAGTGCAATGATAGTACCAACACGGGCCAGTGAAGAACAAAAGGACAGCAACTTGCCTGTTTCCCTGCCCCAATTCCCCAATAAAAATCTTTAAAAAAAAAAAAAGGTTCTCTGCCCACTTTAATCTGTAGACAATTTACACAGCAATAGAGTGTCTGGGTGACTCAGCACCAGCTATGTTGGTGTGAAGGGCTCAACACTTCATGTGCTGGCCTCTCTCTCAGGCTTGCAGTGAGCTTCCTGCAATTAGCTGCTGTGTGCTCTGGAACCGTGCTCACCATAAAAAATTCTCACAGGTTGCTGAGGGCTGTCTGGTACTGCAAAAACCCCTCTGTAGCCTGCAGAGATGGAGGCCAGGCACCAGGTCTCAGATTGCCCCCAGCAACACAGCTCTGAGTAGGTGGGGCAGGCTCCCAAGGCACCATAGGGTGTGGTCAATGGCTCCCACTAAGTTACAGCAGCACGCACTCCTGCACCGGCAACCAGCCTGCACAAATGCACCAAGAATGCCCTAGCGGGATCATGCAGGTGCACAGCTCATAGCCCAACACTCCCAGGAAAACTCTCAGTCTCAGCCTGTCCCAATCACCCACTCGCAGATCAGGCCGAACAACCCAACAGCCAATCACCAGCCTGACAAGTCTGCAGGCGCTGTGTGGAGAGCAGGGACCCAAGGTGGTTCACACACTCCTGCTTATCAATGAGCAGCCTGTTGGAACCAGAACGCGCCTGCCAGGCATTTCCCTGGCTACACAGCACAAGCAGTGCAAAGGGTGGGGATAAAAGGTCACATGCGTGCACACGCACACATGCACTCCTGCACCAATTCAACCAGACCATGCGTTCCCGACCTGACCCTCTGTGGGAGGACCCAACCCTGAAAAAATGGCACCTTCCTGTGCAAGCTCCACACCCAGGGAACAATGGTCCCAAAACCTCCAGCTCCCACACCAAAGGTGCGCAGTTCAGTCCTTCACCGCAGGCTTCTGGGCCCCGCTCACACAGCTACTCCATCCACCAGGAACCGGGTGAGTTCTCACCATTGTGTGAGTCCATCTGCTGGCTTTACTGGTTCTCCAGCCACCCTCAGCCTCACCGAGTTGAGCAAAGAGAGTCCTCACAAATTTCTACTGCCGGCTATTGTAGAACTCCTCTTCCTGGCAAAGTAACTCTGGGCTGGTGAGCTTGGTGTGGGGCCGGAGGGTCTCTCCCCCAACCAGAGAAGCCTCTGTACTGCTGAGGTGTCCCTCACAGGGTTCACCCTCTCTCATCTCTGCCTCACCTACCAGACTCGACGTGGCCTCCTCTTTATGTCCTTCATTTAGAGGTTCTGTTCATCTAGTGTTTGGGGGATTTCTGAGGTTGAATGTTGTGTCAATTATTTGTGATTTTGGTGTGATCCTGGGAGGCAGTTGGCACAGCATCTACTCTGCCATCTTACCAGAAGTCCCAAGGAGTGTTTCTTAACAAGTTTGAGTCACCATATGTAATTCAAGGTAGTAAAACATCATTTCTTTGAAAACATATTCTATCTCAGACTTTATCATTCTCCCCCCCATATCTCCCCACTGATAGGGATATTGAGGCATAACTCTACTTAACAGAAAGAAAAAAAATGATGTTCGAAATTGGTGTTTTCACTTCATATCTGATATACCATCCAAAAGCCTTTCCTTGGTTAGGAGCATTTTTGTAGGTATGTATTTTAAGGTCTGGCTTCAGACTAAAACCTACTACCGTCATAAAATAACAATTGTGGAAGACAAAATAAATAAGTGCAGAAATTCCTAGCACTTATTTTCCTGGAGTGAATATAAAAATATTGCCTGCCTTTGCTGGAGTTAATTATGCAGTGCACTATTGACACATTTAACTTATTGATCCAATACATGTGAGTGCTACACTGATATTTATCCCTAGAAATGATGGCTTACTATATAATATGTATTATATTAACTGCTTTTCCCTTGTTATTGCCCTGCAGAATTCTTACATATTTGCATATATCATATTCAATAATCAACAACTTACTTTTTAGGTAACTATGGTTTCTTTAGTTTAGGATTTGTTGCAGTGATAGATACAAAAAAAGAAGATTGAGTCCCTGCCTTCAAAGAACCTATGTTTTAATAGGCATACTCTCAAAAAATATTTCAAGGATAAGAGCAAACATTCAAGTGCTAAACTGAGTACTATAGTTCTCTGTGGTACCTCATGATGGGGAGGGAGGCATATACAAGAAGTGTGGAATGTGATGCTTGCCCCACAAGAATTTCTAGTCAAGTGAGGGAGATAAGACATGAGTATGAAAATTAGAATAAGACAATAGGAGTTAAACAGTGATGTGTTACAAGGCAGTACAAGTTGAGATGCAAGGTAGCAAAAAATTTAGGGGGCCAGTCGAGTGGTGCATTGGTTAGGAGTTGGCTTGTGACACCAGCTCTGAGCAGCAGGGCCCCAGTTTGGATCCCACATGAGGGCCAGTAATGCTGTGCCCTCTACAGCTAAGATGGTGAACAACAGCTCGACCTGGAGCTGGGCTGCCGTGAGTCGCCGGCTACAGTGTAGGCTGCAGTGGGGCCAGCCGGCAGCGGGCATGAGCTTTTGTGAGCTGCAGTGAACCACGTTGAGTGGCCATCCAATGGCCAAAAAGCGACTGTCTCATCCTGGAAGAGCGCAATGATAATACCAACATGGGCCTGTGAAGTGACATCCTCCACTTCTAGACTAAAGAACAAAAGGACAGCAACTTGTCTGTTCCCTTCCCCGATTCCCCAACACTGTTCCCCTCCCTCAATTCCCAAAAAAAATATTTTTAAATAAAAGTTAGGGAAGAAAATTGAGTCATTTGCCCTAAGCCATTATGTCTCAGAGGACAATAGGCCAGCCAGTGTCCTTCCTTAACATATCATCAGGTTAAATCATTGTAAAAACCATTGAACGCTACTAGTTTTCTAATCAAAGCACTGACAAATCAATTGGTTGTAATGATATAAGACTTTATATTTCCACCAAAGAGGTGTATTAAGTGGCAAATGACTGATGGGAATACTGTCTCTAAACGTTAATTTTTTTTTCCAGAGGGCTGATATAGCTGTTGCTCCACTCACTATAACGCTGGTCCGTGAAGAAGTCATAGATTTCTCAAAGCCGTTTATGAGCCTGGGCATCTCCATCATGATAAAGAAGCCTCAAAAATCAAAACCAGGAGTATTCTCATTCCTGGATCCCTTGGCTTATGAAATCTGGATGTGCATCGTCTTCGCTTACATTGGAGTCAGTGTAGTTCTTTTCCTGGTCAGCAGATTCAGCCCTTACGAATGGCACTTGGAAGACAACAATGAAGAACCTCGTGACCCACAAAGCCCTCCTGATCCTCCAAATGAATTTGGAATATTTAACAGTCTTTGGTTTTCCTTGGGTGCCTTTATGCAGCAAGGATGTGATATTTCTCCAAGGTTTGTTTCCATGTCATACCCAATGCCACCTTGCATTTTATGGCCATGATCCATTCATGTACATCTGGTATTTACCCATCTCAAGTCCAGATTACTTTCATTTAACATTCCATTTAATGACAGATTATCATCAATCCAATTTTCCCTTGTGTCCATGAAGTGATTGTGTCATTGGTGTTGCTTTAGTGTCTTCCGTGCATTTCTATGATATTGTATATTTATACACATTACAGCAAACATTTCAACTCTGTATAAAGGCAACATTACCATCTAATATTAATACTATTCAGATAAAGCTAATACTAAATCTTTATCAGATCAAACATGTACAGTTTCCTCATAAATTGAGGAACATTTTCTCATTTGTCCAGAGATTGGATCCAAAAAAATTGGAAAGTAGAGGTAACTCTTCTTTAAAACCCTCTGACCTTCCCCTTTCAGTTTCCATCCTTTTTAATTTTGTTCTCAGACTGCCTAGAAATATCCATTGTAGTATCTTGTCAAAGTTTTATAACTAAAACTATAAAACTTCTAAAAGAAAATATAGGAGGAAATTTGTGTGACCTTAGATTGGACATAGAGTTTTCAAAACACAGAAAGCAAAATTCATTTAAAAAATTGATAAACTGGACTTCATCAAAATTCAAAACTTTTGCATTTCAAAAGATATCATTAAGAAAATGAAAACACAAGTCACAGACTGGGAGAAAATATTCACAAATCATGCATCTGATAAAGGGCTTAAATCCAGAATATATAAACATCTCTTGCAACTCAATAAAAAGGAGACAAAAAAACCCATTTTAAAAATGAACAAGAGATTTGAATAGACACTTCCCCAAAGAAGATGTACAAATGGCTAGCAATCACATGGAAAGATGATCAACATCATTAGTCATTAAGGAAATGCAAATTAAAATCACAATGAGATAACCTCTATACATCCTCTAGAATGGCTATAATGAAAAACACAGACAATTCCAAGTGGTGGTGAGGATGTGGAATAAATGTAGCTCTTATCCATTAATAGTGCGAATGCAAAATGCTACAGCCAAATTGGAAAGTGGTTCAGCCGTTTCTTGTAGTTAGACGTACACTTAAGATATGACACAGCAATTCCATGCTTATTTATTTACCTAAGAGAAAAGAAAACATATTCACATAAAGATTTATACACAAGTGTTTATAAAAGCTTTATTTATAGGAGCCAAAAAGTGGAAATAACACAAATGTCCATCAAAAAGTGAATGGATAATCAAAATGTGATATATATATATATGTATATATACATATATACATATACACATAATGGAATACTATACAGCAATTAAGAACAGACCACTGACACATGCTACAACATGGATCAACTTTGAAAACATTGCATACTAAGTGAAAGAAGCCAGACACAAAAGGCCACATTATATGAATCCACAGCTATATTCGATATCAGAGGGTTAGAAGATCTGGCAGGGGGGGGGTTTATAACTTTGTGAAGGGTGTACATGTCTGTTACATTGCTTTGTACAGCGGAAACTAATATAAAAAAGAAGGTCACCGACCATGTTTTTAATGTATATTCTTCATTTTGAGATTATCCACTTGGATCACAGAACATTTAAAATGAAGATTTGCAGTATAACTCACTGGTAACCATCTTCAGCAGCACCAGCAGCTTTTAGCATAACATGGGGCAAGCCTCATTTATCTAAATCAAATATTTTTTTGTCACCGTCTATCTGGTTGGTTAGATTCTCCAAATTATTTCACTCCTGTTCCACTTGTACTTAAATGTGTGTCATTTTGTGATATCATCTGTGAGTTCATTTGTTTTGCTAGTTTCTTTTCCCGTTTTTTAAATGTTCACTTCAAAAGACTAGAGTTTCTGAATGATCCCATAATTGAAAGATTTTTAACATGGCTGGTAATCTGTATTGAGACAATGCTAAAGACTCATTAAGGCTGGAGATTTTATTGGCTCCTGTGAGTGAATTTTCAAAACTAAATTTTTGATATCCCCTCTGCAGTGCTGCATACTACCCTGCCTACTTAAACAGGACTCAAAAATTCATTTGTTTTTAAAAGTATTTATGCATATTGCTTTGCTTTATTAGGTAATAACTTAAAGATGATGATCTGAAAATGACAAGCTGTACAGATTTTTTTTGTAGCACAATTTAAGCTGTACCTCTTGTGTGGCAATGAAATATTCCAAATGATTTTTTCTTAGATACAGGTTATGTTATACTGCCCTAGATGCTGTCATACAGAGCAATGACTTTCAAATTTTTTACCATGGCCCTCAGTAAGAAACTATGCATCATGACTCAGTAGACATATATGTATATAACAAAAGTTTTACCAGACATTACCCTTACAATGTGCTATGTACTTTGATAGTTTCTATTCTGTTTCTTCTTTTCTTCTTTTTTAAAAATACTGGTTGCAACTCAATACGGCACACAGCCTATGGACTAATACTGATCTAGAGTAACAAGTACTATCTTTATTGTACTTTCAAGTAATATATTATTACCTTTATGAACTCTACACTTTCTACCATATGGGTGATCCCTTCTTCAATACTGTCTTTTGGGTCCTTCAAAAGCAATTAAATCTTTTAGCTTCTTGATAAAATGTTATTCATTGATATACATATACCAATAAGAAGGAAATATTTATCCTTGTCTTCAGAGCTCTGTTGGTTTTATATTTGTGCTCAATTGTATAATAGAAAACCTCATCGAAATGTGCTTCTCTATTAACATATTTAGAAATTCCTGATAATAACATATTCGCAATCTAAGATTCATGGTCCCTTTGACAGCAAACAGCAACATTATACTTTACTTCTTTTCTAATGGCCACACTTGAAATGTGAGCATTCATTGTACACTCACTTTTCTAAATTTTAAAGCAATTCAAGGGATTACAAGAAACCATTTTAAAATAGAATTATAAAATATGATAACAGGAGGAAATGTCAGGGATAAATAAACACAACTGATCTCATTTACTGAGGGCAGAGGGACAACAACCTTCACTGAGATCCCACCATGTATGAGCACTTTACGTGCATTATCATGTGTATTTTAATCCTCAAAACACATCTGAAGTATGGGCACTACACTTATTTCTTAAATTAAATGAAAGTCTATTGGAGTGACAATGGTTAGTAAAATTACATAGATTTCAAGTGTACAATTCTGTAATATATCATCTATATATCATATTGTGTGTTCACCACCCAGAGTCAGTTCTTCCATCACCATATATTTGACCCTGTTTATTCTCATCTACCACTCCCCTTCCCTCTTGCCCTCTGGTACCCACTAAACTATTGTCTGTATCGATGAGTTTTTGTTTCTTTGTTTGTCTTGTTCCTGTGTTCCTGAGTTTTATATCTCGCATATCAGTGAAATCATATGTTTCTCAACTTTTTCTGTGTGACTTATTTCATTTAACTTAATAATCTCAAGATCTGTCCATGTTGTCGCAAATGGCACTATTTCATCTTTTCTTATGGCAGAATAGCATTCCGTTGTGTATATGAGATCAGACAATTATGTTTGCTAACTTGTTGCAACAATGTTGCTAACCTTTTTTTGTATCAGAGAGATTTTAATTATGAATTTATGCCAACTGTACAAACATTTAACCAAGTTGACTATTTATAAGTGCTGAAAGGCCTGCATGAAAAAGTTACATGAAAACCACCTGAACTTTTCACCAACAATTCATGGCTCTTGTGTCACAATGCACCAGATCACACGGAACTGTTTGTGAGGGACTTTTTAGCCAGGAAACAAATAACTATTGGAACACCCTCCCTACTCACCTGATCTTGCCCCAAATGAATTATTTCTTTACCTGAAGATAAAGGAAATATTGGAAGGAAGACATTGTGATGGCATTCAGGTCATCAAGGGTAATATGACAATAGCTCTGACGGCCAGAAAAAGAGCTCCAAAATTGCTTTGAAGGGTGGACTAGGCACTGGAGTAGGTACATAGCTTACCAAGTGGAATACTTTGACGGTGATCATAGTGATATTCAGCAACGAGCTATGTAGCAGTGTTTCTAGGATGAGTTCATGAACTTAATTGTCTAACCTCATATATACCACATATTCTTTATCCAATTATCTATGGAAGGACACTTTGGTTATTTCCATATCTTGGCCAATGTAAATAAAGCTGCAATTAACATCAGAGCACACATATCTTTATGAATACATGTTCTCAAAATTTGGGGGTAAATACCCAGGAAAGAGATTGCTGGGTCATATGGTAATTCTATTCCTAATTTTTTGAGGAACGTCCACACCTCCTTCCATAGCAGCTGCACCAATCTGCATTCCCACCAGCAGTGTATGAGGGTTCCATTTCCTCCACAGCCTCTCCAACACTTGTTATTATTTGTCTTATAGATGATAGCCATTCTAACTGGTGTCAGGTGATATCTCATTGCATTTTTATTTGCATTTTTCTGATGATTAATGATGTTCAGCATCTTTTCAAATGTCTATTGGCCATCTGTATGTCCTCTATGGATAAATGTTTATTCATGTCTTCTGCCCACTCTTTAATTGGATTATTTGACTTTTGTGTTGTTAAGTTGTATGAGTTTCTTATGTATTTAGATATTAGCCCATTATCAGAGGTATTGTTTGCAAATATCTTCTCACATTTAGTTGGTTGCCTCTTTATTTTGGCAATGGTTGCCCTTTCTGTGCAAAAACTTTTTACTTTGATATAGTCCCATTCATTTATTTTAGTTTTTACTTCCCCTGCCTTTGAAGCCAAATTCATAAAACCCTCTTTGAACCCAAATTCCTTAAGTTCAGTACCAATGTTTTCTTCTATGCAGTTTATTGCTTTAGGTCTTATGTTAAGGTCTTTGATCCATTTTGAATTAATTTTGGTACATGGAGACAGGTAACACTCTAGTTTCATGCCTTTGCTTGTGGCTTTCTAGTTCTCCCAGCATCATTTATTGAAGAA